ACTGGGGTGTAAGACTCTATATGATTTACAAACATAGTGCAGCACTATATGATTGGCGCACTAAGTAAGATTTTTGAAATTTTGTAGATCATTTATTATAAAAATTTAACATAGTAATTTTATTATAAAAATCGGTGTATTTTTAAAATGCTCTAACTCACGTTCTAGCAAAGCAAATTCAATTCTGTAACTTGTAAATGATATATTGAGAGCATGGTTTTAAAACTATGTGGGGATATTTTCTAATTTATTTTATTAACTTAACTAAAATTATAAATTAATGAATTTTAATAGTAAACCATTTATTATTTTATATAGAGACCTACTAAAATTTACATATTAGTATTAAATGTTGTCACATAGTTTTAAAATAATGCTCTCATTTTATCATTTACAAGTTACAGAATTGAGTTTGCTTTGCTAGAACGTGAGTTAGAGCATTTTAAAGGTGTGAATTCGCATGTTTTATAACGATGGACATGATCACGTGATAAACTTTTCTTTAAAATAGGACTTTGACGTTACACATTTTTCGTTAATTATGTATTTTTTTAATAGAATTTTAATAAAATCGCCTCAATTAACAAATGGTATAGCATTATTTACTCTAAGTTTTTCATCTGTTATTAAATTTATTTGAAAAATATTTCGATAGTAAAGAATTTTAAATTAATAAAGTGGTGTTTACTCGCAAATTTTGTTGTCATTATTAGCGTCATATAATGAAGTAAGTGCCTCGGTAAAATTATTTTTCAGTATAATGACTACACTATACCGAGGATTTTGTATTTGAAATAAAAAAACAGATTGTTTTAATAAAGTATTTTCCCATTTGTAATAAAAATGACTCGGCATTCAAATAAAAGAAAACACTTAATAAAGATTACTGAAGATCGTGAATCTAAAAAACAACGTTCTGAAATTTATAAAATCGTAGATTCTTTGGACCACGAAGAACTAATAAAAATTCAAAATTACATTGCTTCAATAAATCCTCAACAGCCAAACATCTATAAGTTAATTGATTCCTTGGATCAAGAAGAACTCATAAAAATTCAAAATTATATTAATTTAAAAAATCCTCAACAGCCAAATATCTATAAGCTAATCGAGTCCTTCGATCAAGAAGAACTAATAAAAATTCAAAATTATGTTAATTCAAAGAATCCTCAACAGCCAAATATCTATGAGCTAATCGAGTCCTTCGATCAAGAAAAACTAATAAACATAAGAAACTACATTGATTCGATCAGTCCCGAACGGCAAAGTGTTGTTAAAAAAAAATTCGATAAAATAGTTGATAAAGTAAAAGGCTTACCAGATTATCAAATCCCAAGATTTGAAAATTTAATTAATTCTATGACATATTCTAAAGGTAAAAGTAAAGGTGAAATATTATCGCCATACTTACAAAACAAAGCAATTGAATTTGTAAATAGTGGTCTTTTTAAGCACTATTCGTCCGCTAATGCCGTACAAGATAAAATAAAGCAATTAGAAACTGAAAACAATAAATTAGCAAAATTAGTAGAAAAATCAAACAATGAGCTTAAATCTTTCCGTATGAAGATCGTACGAGCAAAGGAAGCAAAGCAAAAATATATTTCTAAAATTCGGTCTATATCTCAGAAAAAAATTACAAAAAGTCAGTTTAAAATAGCAGTAAAAAAAATGATAAAGCAAAATAATAATGAATACTCGTCTGAGTTTGTTAGGTTTGCCACTAATATAAGCAACATTGGAACAATTTCTCTTTCAGCAGCATCAGAATGTACGAAGGCTATGTTAAGTTTTCTTATAAGTGAAACACCAGACTATTGGCCATCAAAAGGAACTCTTTCTCGGTGGAATAAAGAAGTTTCTAAAATATCGCTTCATCAAAATCGGCCGGGAAACCCACATTCATCTTCTTACTCATACGGTATAATGGCTGACGAGAGTACAAGGGGAGATAAAAAAGTGTTTTTAGTTTGTTTTTCTTATTGGAATGAATTTAAAAACCAACCAATAATTACTCTTGCAAAAATGGTAGACTTAAATAAGTGCAACGGAGCAATAGTAGCCAAAACGGTAAAAGAAACATGCGAAGAAAATAACTTAGATCCGAGACAGTGTGGATTTTGGCTTACAGATAATACAGCATATATGTCAGGAAATAAATCAGGTGCCGTCGTTGAATTTAACTTGCAAACAAATGCATCTTCGTTCAGAATTCCGTGTGGTCTACATGCACTACAAATAGCTTTGGTTAATTTTGAAAATACTGCATTTGGAAAATTAAATGCTGTATCGGGACTATCTTTACGAGAACATCCTCATAATCTTCTTCAACTTGTCTATTATCTACACGACGGATATAGTAAGAGTAATAAAGAATGTCCATTAAATATGAAATCCAACACAATAAAAAAACTATATTGGATACTTTTACAATATACCTTACCAAAGTATCAAAAACCTATTTCGAGTCGATGGCGATATCAATTAATAACGGCAAGTCAATATCTTAAAAATTACAATGCTCATAATCTTTTTGGAACTTGGTTCGTGAAACAGCTTAGTGAATTCAAAAATTTACCTGAGGGATACGTTAAACAGTGGAAAGTATTAATTAACTGGATAAATAATGTAGAACTTAATATTCAAGTAAAATGTATGGTGCAATTTGGCAACTTTTTTTATATGAAATTCTTTAAATTTCTAATCGGGTTCGATAACGTACCTCGTGTATTAGAAAATAATACATTCAAATGCCTTCCTCCTGGATACCGTGCACATGAGCTTACTGATCAAGTTTTATTTTGGCTTGGTGAATTACAAAATGCTATTACTAATCCTTCTATTATTTTTGAGGAACAAATTATTGAAGCACGTTCCAAATTATGTGATCAAAAACTTACTGCTTTATTACATAGTTTAAAATCAGGTTTAAAAAAGGCTCAGGAGGGATTTTTAAAATGGATGAGCTGTTGGGTTCATTTACCTTTAACAATATGTTTATTAGGTGGAAGTAATGGTCCTGACTTTGCACGAAGTGTTTGCCATGTTTTCTTAGACCGACCATTGAACGTTGAAACAACAGAAAAGGAACTCCAGTATATTGAACTGCTAAAAAAAGACAAGTTAGAAGGAAATATTCAATCATTTGGTCTGTTTAATGCACTAAGAGATCCACAATTTTTGGAACAATTCCTTATCTTCTCAACATCCCGTCCACAAGAACTCTCTAAATTCCCACTCGTATATGCCTTTGTTAAATATAGAATTTGGTCAATAATAGTTCATCAACAGCAATTAGAAGGAATGTTTAATCGATATGACATCAAAACTCACCCTAATATGGCTGATGAAGTACAAGAAGCAAGACTTCTTCTCTCTAGTCCAAGTAAACCGGAAGTAATGTTCGATCGTAAAGATTTAATAGCTGTCCGAAAAGAGCTACGAAGTAATATAGCTAAAAAGACCGAAGAAGAGGTTGGTGAGGCGGCCGCTAAAGCTGTTTTAAAAGAATTTATTAAAAAAAAATAAACAAATTCTTTGAAAGAGAACAAATAAGTACTTATAAATGCGTTTAAAAGAAAAAAAAA